TATGGCTCAGGATAAAAATAATATATTTTTTATATCATATTTATTAATCAAACACTCAGTGTCAATTTTTCTAAAGTTTCCAATTCTAGTTAATACATTTAGAAAGAATTTTCAAGGAATTAAATATTGTATAATAAAATATACGTGACTGAATGGAATTAAAATTTATAGCTAACATTGACTATAACTAAGAGTTTGTTATTTGCTATTTAAGAATTAACTACATTTAAAATGCAAATAAATAAATATAAATTGAATTAAATTTTATTCCATTTAATTGTAATCAGTATATAGATTAACTCAATTTAAGTATTTTTGTTGTTTTGCATTTGACAAAATTATTATATACTGTTTTCAATTCTAACATGCATCCTAATTTTGAAATCAAGTTGTTATTTTTTTTATGGGGAGAATAAAATAATTAATTTTTAAATTTTAAATTACAAGAAATCAGAAAAATGCTAAAAATACCAGGAGATAGATAATATTCTTCAGTTACTTAAATCAACTAAACTAATCATTCTACACATACTGTATTGTAATATCTTTTTGAAAACATTTTAAATTCTAAAAAAAAAAAAGTTTAAATTAAATATTATCATTAATAAAGCTAATTTGAACTGATATAGCTTTTGAGTTGTTTAGCCAAAAAGGTATATTATTATCGCAAAATGTACCATATGGTCTATTTGTGACAACTGTGAATGTAAGATATGTGTCTATTCTAGACAAGTAAAAATGGATAAAAAAATTTATCTTAGAATTGATTAATATTTAGATAAAATATTAGTTTTAATAATTGAATGATAAATTTGACCAAACTTATTATTAAAGAGAATTATAATATTGAACATTCATCACATGATCATTATCTCAACAAAAAATTTAAAGTATACTCTATAACAGTTTCAAACTTTATATCAGAACAACAGAATATCTAAGGTCTAGTAAGTTAAAAATTATTTTTAAATTATTTTAGTGCTCACAAAACAAACAACCACTCATAATTAGAAAACTAAGTCTCGTTTAAATACTGGCCTCCCTTCAATGGTCAAGCTGGTATTGCCAGCCAGCTAAAACACGCAAAAATTTAACAAAAATAATATTAAAGTAGCCAAGACATAGCCAAATATTGTAGTGCCACATCACTAGCGGACATTTGAAATTTGCCGACTAAAATGGTCAGTTAACTGATGTGGCGGTTAATCGGGGGTTGGATAATTGATGCTTTACTGTAGTCAATTTGGCCTGTGAATGGCTCAAATATTGCCATTGAGGTTGGCATGTTCACCACAAATGATTTTTGTTGAAGTTGATTTTTAAACTTACTATCTGGCTTTTAAATTAATTAATATTTAATCATTTTAAGTTTATTTTGGTTCCTTGGTAGGAGGATATATCTCCAAACCTTAAGTTGTTTAAGAATTCACCATCATTATCGATGACTGTTTTCCCAGTTTAGATTTTTTGTTGAATATTAAAAAAGGTAATTATGAATAATTTGGGAGAAGTTGAATCACATTGTCTTATACCTTTCTGTGTGTTGGTTATTCTACATTTATTTTGGATCTTGATTATTGCCTAATAATTATTATACAAGGTGTGATCAAAGTGTTTAGATATTTGGACCACAGAGGGCATTAGAATCAACATCAAAATTTTTGTCATGGTAAGGAGGCATTGTCAACTTCTTGCTATAGACTACTCAAAAGTTTTGTAGTTATTTGTCCATTAGTATTAGAGTAACAGTTGATTTTATGAATTTTTTTGTGATTTTTGGTTTTAAAATGTGTAGCATTAAGAACCTGCATTAAATTTTGTTTCAAACTTAGAAAAAGTATACAGAAATGTTTCAAATGCTACAAACAGCCTTTTGGGATGCTACCATATCTCCTTTGAAGGTAAGCAAGGAAATTTAAAACTGACTTAACATTAATTGAAGGAAAGATCCAGGCTTGGAAGACCTTCAACAGCCATCACAGATAAAAGTAAAGATGATGATGATTACATACAAGATAAGTTACAAATACAAAATAATACAGAAAGAACATTTTAAAAGACAAAAAGCAATTATTTATTGTGACATGACATTGTCACATTGCAGAACTGTAATTTTTAATCATATTCTTAATTTAATTTAAAATATATGTCCTCTATTGGAAATTATTAGTGTGTTGCCCCTGTACATCATACGTTTCCTAATAACAACAGTTGGCATGACTGTTGGTATTAGGAAATATGGGCTGATTATCTATATAAACTCCATTCAGGTGAAAAATTTTTAAATTGAATTCATGTGATTTCTGGTCTAGAGTGGAAGTTTATATATAGTTAACCAAGGACTCTTGCCCCTAAGCTTTTCTGATTTGGTCTTGTCTTTAACTATCTAACTTCGTTCTCGAGATTAAGGAAAGACAGAGAAATGGACAACAATGGGAATTTATAAGTCTAAAATTTCAAAATTGGAGCTCAAAAAGCACATTTTACAGATGTCACTTGTAGGAAATGCCCTATTATGAATGAAACTACAGTAGAACCTCGATTATCCGGACTAATTGGGGATGAAGGTAGTCCGGATAAGGAAAAATCCGGATAATCGAAACAAATACTTTGTCTTTTAATGATAATACAACACGTTTTCTTTTCGATGACATATCGGTAATATTAAAAATAAATACTGTATTTAAATCGTGATCAAATTTTCAAGAAACAAATGTTTTATTGAATTTGTACTACTACTGACCAGCGCTAACAGACTAGCTATTGTTTAAAAGGCCCTCTGGCGGCTCAAGAAGACGGATTTTATAAAATAAAAAGCAGTTTAAAACTGCATTTCTATGAATAAAAATTTGACAAACTATTTATCNACAAGCATTTAGCTTTCCGAAGTCTATGACAACAATTGTTTGGCATTGACGGGTGCGAATTTTGTGCCAATAAGATGCCTCGACTTGTTCGATTATGTTATCAACTCAATTTTATATTTATTTTCACATTTTCACTTCGCGGTCCTTCTCTGTTCTTTTTCCGTTATTTACAAGTGTAGGTCATTTGATATCATCATTTATCACATACTTCCATGACACTCTTGTCTGTCGGCTACAACTGCCAAGAATTAACGCGATTGGCGAAGCGTAGTGACAGTGGGCCAATAAAGAGCAGGATCCTTGCCATAGTGCAGTTGGCGCGCCAATTTTCGTACGTGCGTTAATCAAGCCGAATAGTTTGGCCGAATATTCGGTTATTCGGCCACGCTCCTGGCCGAATATTCGGTTATTCGGCCACACTCCTGGCCGAATATTTGGTATTCGGCCTGAGGCCGAATATACTATTCGTTACAACACTAATCTAAACTTTAAATTTTGTGCAGATTCTGATGTTCTCTTGCTGTTTGTGGGGTAATGTTGAAATCAGGCTTTGGCCAGTAATAAATAATTAATGTGGATTAATTTCTATTGCATATCATAATTTGTTCTATAGGCAAAATACTTTGTTCAAATAAATTGCAAACTATTCAAAAATGTATTTCTTTAGGATAAAAAAATAATTTGTGTATATTGAAATTTAGAATAAGATAGTTTTTTTAATATTATTTTCATAATTTAGTATCTATTGATATTTATGCCTAATTTTTTATATTTTATTAGCTGTAATATATTTTTATTATGTTTAGTTGCAGAAGTTTTTCTTAATTTTTTATATTTTTGATTAATAACAAAATTTTAATGTAAAATCTTATTTAAAGATTATTATTGCTAATAATTGTGTTTAAATATTTTAGACTGAAGATGTAAATCCAAAAGCATATCCTTTGGCTGATGCTGCTTTAACAACTAAAATACTTAATTTAGTTCAACAAGCAGCCAATTACAAGCAGTTGAAAAAAGGTGCTAATGAAGGTAAGTAAAAAACTGATCATTTTAACTCCTATAATTACATAGATAAGAATTGAATGCTAAATTATAAAGATATTCAAAGTTTATTAAAAAAATTAATATGTCAAATTTGAAAGATACATTTTAATGATTAATAATTATTTTTGATCTTCAAGCAACAAAAACATTAAATAGAGGACAAGCAGAAGTAATAATAATGGCTGCTGATACAGAACCATTGGAAATTTTGTTACATCTTCCTTTGTTATGTGAGGACAAGGTAAGCCATTGTTGATTTGTTGAAAATTGTGAACCATATTGTTACAAAAAAATTTAAAAATAGAAAACATAATCAGAAATTGCATTATGTAAAGCTTAAATCAATACAGTATTAGACCAAATATCTAGTTTCTAAGAATTAGAATTACCAGAAAATTGGTCAGTTTTGAATTTGACTGTGCAGATGTAATTTGCCACATGACTGCTTTGTTTTGGTTTTCATGGCGTGTGTGTTGCATAAATCCAATTCCAGCATGACTACTGCTATACAATATGTTAAATACAATCATTGTTGTTTACTTTTCATTATTTTGTATTTTAAGTATATGTTTAACATGTGTCCAGAAATCCAGACCATTCTAGTCCCAAGCTTGCCAGATATTTGGTACTGTACTATATCATATAATTAAATATACATAATCAAAACAATAATATCAACAATGTCTTGACATCTAAAATTTTTTAAGTTGTAGATTTTTATAATTTATAGATTGTCATTCTGTTCTTTTACTATAATTTGAAAATTTTTGTATATAGTAGAAAAAGCTTTAAATTAAAGGCAGAATAATCTGTGATAAGAAAAAGACATATTTACTCCACATACATCAGTCTTCTTTAAATAGCTTCCATATGAACACAGTTTCTGTGTAAAAAGAAATTAAAATGCATAAAAATGAGATCTTATGACATAAATAGTAATGTATTTCAGATATTGTTTTAAATAATTTTTATTTTTTGAAATTCAGGGTTTTCCTCAGATTTTAAGTTTAACAGATTGATTTTTTTGGCTTAGTTTTATAGATAATTTTTAGTTCCAAGATGTATTGCTTTCTTCAGGATTTAAAATTTATTTGTTTTTTTTTTTATGAAAGTTGATTTATAAACAGCATGCTTCTGCCAATGCTCATACCATTTATTAAAACAGTCTTGTCTGTCAGTTAATTATATCCTTGAGTGCAATCATAATAATACTTTTCACCTCTTGCTGTTGACATGATCTGTGAAATTTCAGTAGAGATTTTATTTTGGTGAAGATGTAAAAGCCTGCAGGATCAAAGTCTGATGAGTAAAGAAGCTAAGGAAGTATAAGTTTATGATGTTTTGTCAGATGTTAACTAACTAGAAGAGTATGATGAATTTGGACATTGTAATGATGGAAAACCTTGCTTTTTGCTTGCCAGAGATGAGACCATTTTTATTTTGCTGAATCATGTAGATGACTAAGAATCCAATGAAGGGCTCCTTGTTTAAAGGATCTATTGGGAACAAACTCAAAATGTGCTAGGTTATTCAAATAAAAAAGTGCTATGACATTCAAAGAGATAACACAAAATGGGGTACAAGATAACTTTTTAATAATTGGTATGAATGTTAGCAGAAGTGTGAAACAGCGGAAGATGCTTATTTTGAAATTGATCTTTTGTAAATACTTGTATTAATAAAATTATATTAAAAGCTTGATTTATTATTCATTCCTCTACTACATGTGTTTATAAATTGTATTTCTTTGTGGTTGTTATGTTGCTTTCACAATTGAAATTATCTTTGATTTTTTAGAACACTGAAAAAATGGATGTTTTCTATTGGTTAACCATCAATCAGCCCAATTTGGAAAAATTATAATAACCAATAAACCAATTTATTTTTATAAAAGTTGAGTAAAAATATGGATAGTCTAAATATTTTTTAGTATCATATCAGAATTAGATTTCAGTTTCAATTCAAGCTCATTTCAGTGTTGACCTTGAGAGGTCAGTTAAATGAGTGAATTTATCAAATATCAAACTTAAAAAATATTTAATTTTTTGAGTAGTTCTGTTTTATGAAGTAGAGGCTAAAAATTAATTAAATTAGGTTTAAGTTAAATAGTGGATTAAACATATGGTAAATATTTTGATTCATTTATTCAGTTTCTGGATAATGCAGTTGGTTGAATCCTGGAGTCGTGCAAAGGGCAAGGTTCAGTTCCCATATATAAATTTATTTCATTTTACCAAAGTGATAATGAATCTTATTCCCTAATAAGTCAACTTTTATTTACAAAAATTAAGTAAAAATAAGTATACTTTTTGTAATATGCCAAAATAGAGGATAGCTTCCATCTTATCTTTTGTTTCTGCCTCTTGTCCATCTCCCTTTCAGTAAGGATACCAGTTATTTTTTGTCTTAAATCAAACTTAAGTCCAAATTACTAGATTTATTTTTCAGGTTATATTGAAGGTAATTTTTAGTTAATTGTGTCCGAATTTCTTTTAAGCTGTATCTTGTCTAAAGATTAATAATTAAAAATTAATTAATATGAATTTAACTAAATAATTTAGAAAATTTGGAAGAAAACATTGATCCAGATTGAGATTGAGACTGGAATATCTGTTCTAAGTTGATAGTCTTGATTAGTGGTTTTTAATCAGGGGTCTGTGGGCTTGGAAGGATAAAAATCAACTTATCTTAATTTTGTGTTATTATGTGAAATTGTTTGTTAATTATTGTGTTAAGAAATAAGCACATACACTATATATTACTATATCATATGTTTATTATTTTAATAAATTTATTACTGGTTTCTTTTGTAATTTTGTTTATGCATTTAAAAACATTATTTTAAGAAGGGATCTGTGACCTTCATCTAACTGGAAAAGGGGCCCATGGAACAGAAAGTTAAGAAACCTTTGTCTACATAGTAGGCTGAAAAATAATCCAGTACTTTAGACTTAAGTTTGGTTAATGATTTGAGTTTTGGTTATGTTATATAAATGCACTTTCTTGAAATTTCTATGAGAGATTATCCAACAAGATTTCTTGTGTTATAATTAGCTATACCTATATTCATTTTACATTATAAACATTGTATTTAGTTAGAAAATTTTATTTAATAAGTGTCTTCATTACATTTCTTCAGGTAATGCCACATGCTATAGCTAGTACTCTGTTAATCATATAACAATTAGCATAATTAATTTTCTAACTCACATATATAATAAAATGTGTTATCAAAGTTTTAATAAGATAGTATGCTTACATTTTCAGTATCATGATCATTATTGTGTTGTACTATTTGATTTCTATGATTTTATTTTAATCTTGAAATGATATTTCATATATTTATTTAACTGTAGTAAGTAGTACAGTGGAACCCCGGTTAACGAACGTCCTGGTTAATGACCAAATCAGTTAACGAACTTTTATTTTGCAAAAATTTTGTCTCGGATAACGAACGTAACGGTATTTTGTGTCAAATTTTAGTTGGTGTTAGCATGCACGAGTTAAGCATTGCTTTTACGAGTGTTTGTGCTATACTTCTTTTTTCAGTTTTGTGATTTATATATTTAATCAATAATCCAAGAAAGAAAAAAGTCATAGTGGCAATAGAAAATGACAATGCGCTATCGCATTTGAGAAAAATTTTGATTAAAAGATTAAGACAATCAACTTTAGATCAATTTCTTGTTTCTTACGGAAAGAGTTTGTTTGTTATTTAAGTTATGGCAACGCAACACTCGGGCGATCTGCCTACGGAGAATGCTTTCTGGGAGGTGTTTTTAAGGGAAACCAGCCCCTATTTAGGCGTTACAGACGTGGAGAAAACCTGGAAAACTCCACGTGGCCAGCCCGTCTGAGCGAGGTGTGAACCCATGGACAAACTCTCCGTGTTCAGGGTACTAAGACCGCTTAGCCACTCATTGGCTTTCTTACCGAAAGAGACTTCGACTCGAAGAATTTTCCGATGAAGTGCTACCCGTTATTTTTTTGAAGGGGATTCCCCTTCTAAGCATTAAGGTTCGTATATCTCCACTTTTCTGCCACCAACTACAACAAACGAAGGTATGTACAGTGCTAGTTTATTAATTTAAACAAAGTTTACATGTTTGTTGCTGTAATGATAGATACTATGTTTTCCTACATTTTCATCAAAGAAAATTACTGTATATTACAAATAAAATCACAAAAATTTCGGAGACTAGGACGGATTAATTGCATTTGCATTAATTTCTATGGGAAAAATTGCTTCGGTTGACGAACGGAGTTGCGGAACGGATTAAGTTCGTTAACCGGGGTTTCACTGTATTTCTGTTCTGATAAAATGAATACAGTCCTTTTAAATTTATGTAGCAAAATGAAATTATTTGAAAAACTTAAGTTTTAATTGATTTTTGTTTTTAATCTAAAACTTTTTTAATTTTTCAGAATGTTCCTTATGTTTTTGTGAAATCTAAACATGGTAAGTTTTATGAATTTTGAAGTTTTATTTAAAGTTAATTAAAAAATTGAATTATAGTTAATTATAAATATTATATTTCCTACTGAAAGCTAGTTACTTATTTAATCTATTGCTGGAGTGAAATAAATTGACCTTTATATCTGTCTATAACTTATTTCATTTTAGTAACAAGTGTGAAAAATATCCTGCATTAGTGTACAAATAGAGTGCACACAATATATAAAAGTTTTTAATAAGCATAAAACTCAATTAAATTTTATGCTTGTTTAGCATTGCTTTTATATGTTGTGTATGCTTCATCTTAGTATTTATAAAAATTTCAAATCTTCAAATAAAGTAAACAAATAATATATTTTTTATATCATATTTATTAATCAAACACTCAGTGTCAATTTTTCTAAAGTTTCCAATTCTAGTTAATACATTTAGAAAGAATTTTCAAGGAATTAAATATTGTATAATAAAATATACGTGACTGAATGGAATTAAAATTTATAGCTAACATTGACTATAACTAAGAGTTTGTTATTTGCTATTTAAGAATTAACTACATTTAAAATGCAAATAAATAAATATAAATTGAATTAAATTTTATTCCATTTAATTGTAATCAGTATATAGATTAACTCAATTTAAGTATTTTTGTTGTTTTGCATTTGACAAAATTATTATATACTGTTTTCAATTCTAACATGCATCCTAATTTTGAAATCAAGTTGTTATTTTTTTTATGGGGAGAATAAAATAATTAATTTTTAAATTTTAAATTACAAGAAATCAGAAAAATGCTAAAAATACCAGGAGATAGATAATATTCTTCAGTTACTTAAATCAACTAAACTAATCATTCTACACATACTGTATTGTAATATCATTTTGAAAACATTTTAAATTCTAAAAAAAAAAAAGTTTAAATTAAATATTATCATTAATAAAGCTAATTTGAACTGATATAGCTTTTGAGTTGTTTAGCCAAAAAGGTATATTATTATCGCAAAATGTACCATATGGTCTATTTGTGACAACTGTGAATGTAAGATATGTGTCTATTCTAGACAAGTAAAAATGGATAAAAAAATTTATCTTAGAATTGATTAATATTTAGATAAAATATTAGTTTTAATAATTGAATGATAAATTTGACCAAACTTATTATTAAAGAGAATTATAATATTGAACATTCATCACATGATCATTATCTCAACAAAAAATTTAAAGTATACTCTATAACAGTTTCAAACTTTATATCAGAACAACAGAATATCTAAGGTCTAGTAAGTTAAAAATTATTTTTAAATTATTTTAGTGCTCACAAAACAAACAACCACTCATAATTAGAAAACTAAGTCTCGTTTAAATACTGGCCTCCCTTCAATGGTCAAGCTGGTATTGCCAGCCAGCTAAAACACGCAAAAATTTAACAAAAATAATATTAAAGTAGCCAAGACATAGCCAAATATTGTAGTGCCACATCACTAGCGGACATTTGAAATTTGCCGACTAAAATGGTCAGTTAACTGATGTGGCGGTTAATCGGGGGTTGGATAATTGATGCTTTACTGTAGTCAATTTGGCCTGTGAATGGCTCAAATATTGCCATTGAGGTTGGCATGTTCACCACAAATGATTTTTGTTGAAGTTGATTTTTAAACTTACTATCTGGCTTTTAAATTAATTAATATTTAATCATTTTAAGTTTATTTTGGTTCCTTGGTAGGAGGATATATCTCCAAACCTTAAGTTGTTTAAGAATTCACCATCATTATCGATGACTGTTTTCCCAGTTTAGATTTTTTGTTGAATATTAAAAAAGGTAATTATGAATAATTTGGGAGAAGTTGAATCACATTGTCTTATACCTTTCTGTGTGTTGGTTATTCTACATTTATTTTGGATCTTGATTATTGCCTAATAATTATTATACAAGGTGTGATCAAAGTGTTTAGATATTTGGACCACAGAGGGCATTAGAATCAACATCAAAATTTTTGTCATGGTAAGGAGGCATTGTCAACTTCTTGCTATAGACTACTCAAAAGTTTTGTAGTTATTTGTCCATTAGTATTAGAGTAACAGTTGATTTTATGAATTTTTTTGTGATTTTTGGTTTTAAAATGTGTAGCATTAAGAACCTGCATTAAATTTTGTTTCAAACTTAGAAAAAGTATACAGAAATGTTTCAAATGCTACAAACAGCCTTTTGGGATGCTACCATATCTCCTTTGAAGGTAAGCAAGGAAATTTAAAACTGACTTAACATTAATTGAAGGAAAGATCCAGGCTTGGAAGACCTTCAACAGCCATCACAGATAAAAGTAAAGATGATGATGATTACATACAAGATAAGTTACAAATACAAAATAATACAGAAAGAACATTTTAAAAGACAAAAAGCAATTATTTATTGTGACATGACATTGTCACATTGCAGAACTGTAATTTTTAATCATATTCTTAATTTAATTTAAAATATATGTCCTCTATTGGAAATTATTAGTGTGTTGCCCCTGTACATCATACGTTTCCTAATAACAACAGTTGGCATGACTGTTGGTATTAGGAAATATGGGCTGATTATCTATATAAACTCCATTCAGGTGAAAAACTTTTAAATTGAATTCATGTGATTTCTGGTCTAGAGTGGAAGTTTATATATAGTTAACCAAGGACTCTTGCCCCTAAGCTTTTCTGATTTGGTCTTGTCTTTAACTATCTAACTTCGTTCTCGAGATTAAGGAAAGACAGAGAAATGGACAACAATGGGAATTTATAAGTCTAAAATTTCAAAATTGGAGCTCAAAAAGCACATTTTACAGATGTCACTTGTAGGAAATGCCCTATTATGAATGAAACTATATATCATATCAAGTTGAAGGCTTTTAACACATAAAGCCCAATAACATTGACATAACTAAATACAGTAGAGCGTCGGTTATCCGAAGGAATTTCAGTCGACAAATTTAAATTTTTGCCAGTGCTGTGGTGCTGTAATCTTTGGCTATGTCTTCGGCTACTCAAATATTTTACGTTTTTGATACTAAATTAACTTCTGAAGTATAATTTTTTATTGTTTTTATATTTTTCAATATATTTATTTTGTTTGTACAAAATAAAAAAAATAATTTTTAATGATACAATAATCTTCGTTAGGCTTAACATCGACGAAAATTCAACGCAAAGCTACACGCAACGGAGAAAAATTTCAACAAGGGATAAATTAATATATTTTTTCGTACATAATTGGTTATCCGAAAAATAAGTTATCCGAACAACCCCAGTCCCCAATTGATTTGGATAAACGACGCTCTACTGTAACAAACCTAATATATGATAAGTTTGCACTCAAATAAATTTTTACACCCAGCTACCATACTACAAACATACTTTAGTCAGTCTTGGAAAATAACACACACAAAATATACTATGACTGATTTCATGATCACAAACAAATGATTTATCAAAACAGACCAGAAACCATATTCATTGACAAACAGAAAAAAAAAATTACATACATCCTAGGCCTATCTATTACCACTATAGTATACAAAATATATACATCAAACAAATTTCGTAACTATTCAGAACTCTCATGGAATAGAATGGATAACATAAATATGGTAGTCATTCTTTATGATCTGGAAATTCTTAAATACAGATACAAAAATCAACATCATGTAAACAAAATAATGGCTTTTTTTGATAGCTTTGCCTTGATCTTGGTTTGCTATAGTACTAGATACCTGTATCAACTGAATAGACACGAACCACCAACATCAATAATAGATTTTTTTTGATAGATATACTGGAACTTACCTGTATTTGTGTAATATCTAGTAAATGAATGCTTTATAATAAATAGTATTATCCAAGAACGTAAAGAAATAAAATGGATATTTATTCTTTTATAGCCCCAATGAGATTCTATATAGGTATTCTTAGCCTTCTAATTAGAAATTGCTTCAGATCTCGTGTGTGTCTATAAACATACACTGAATGATCACTAGATTAGAAACACCTCACCTAATAATGGGTTTATGCACTTTTCTGGATAATCACTGCTTGCAAACATTTAACATTTTCTATTTTTCTTAACTAGACCCCATGTCTGTTCAAGAAGTTTTGTCAGTTGGTGTACATTTCATGGAGAAGTGGGTGACATTCTCACTACATGTTCTGATATCCTAAACATGTTCAATAGGAGTTGCAATTTGATGAGTTTGGTAGGTCAAAGCAGTGTGTGGAATTCATTGTTGTTCTCCAATTATTCCCGAGTGAACCTTGCTCTGTGATACAGTGCATTACCATGTTGAAACATGGCATTATTGTCAGGAAACATAGTCTGGAGATATGGATGTAGGTGATCACAAAATGATTCCTGTATTGTTCCCCATTTAAAGTTGTGGAATGAAGACCAGTGCCCTAGGCTGTGCTCTCCAAACCATGATATGCTGCCACAAGCTTGTGGAATCCCAAATGTGCAACCTGGAAATGTGGCTTTATGCTGTTTATACCAGATTCAGACCTGGCCATCAGGTAGTTTAACATGAAATTGGCTCATCACTACAGGCAACCTTCTTCCACATGTCCAAGGTCCAGTGGTACCTTTCCCTTGTTCATACAAGGCATTGTTTATGATGATGCTTGGTCAGCAGATCTACCTGTGCAGGTTGACAGCTATTGAATCCCAGTTGATGCAAAGTATGTTGCACATAACTGGTCATTGTCGAAACATATCTGCTTTGTTCATTGTTGTACACATAATGGGTAAACTGTTTCACTATGGCATGTCTTTATTCAAATACCAGTTTTGACATGCAATGCTCGGCTCTTGATCAATCACACATGACTAGCCACTGTGTGATCTGGTGGATGTTTGTACATGATTCATCTACTCATGGTACACCCTGGATACTGAGTGCAACTGTTTTGGAAATACTGGCATCTGTCCTCAGGGCCCCAATAGTCTGTCTGCACTGTCGCTCATGTTACCCCATTTGTTC